TGAGAGCCTACGATACACCTCAATTAGGTCGCCCCTTGCCCGTCTGTCGTATAAGCTAGGCAAGTTCAGGCGCTCCAATCTCTCATGGTAGCTGAGGTGCCGAAGTACAGGCACCAGGCTGGTGGCCCTCCTTTGAACATTTTCAACCAACTGACAGTCCCTAGCATATCTTGGGGACCAGACGGGGTGACAGTACTCCAGAAGGGGAAGCACTTCACTCTTGAAGATTGTTAAGAGAGACAGACTGTCTAGTTATCTGAACGACCTTCTTATAAGACCCAATAATTTATTTGCCTGATTTACCTTCTTCTCGCAATGGCCCGAGAACTTCAGCTCATTTTCAACATACACACCTAGGTCCTTCTCACATTCAGTCTCAAATATTGCAGTTTCTTCATCCTGTTGGGACATATGATATGCCTCCTTACCGTTGGTACGTCCCAGGTGCATTCTCTTACACTTCGTGACATTGAGTCTCAGCAGCCATTTCTTCGACCATTCTTGGAGCCCACAGAGGTCCTTCTGCAGCTCTTCACAGTCCGCTTGGTTCTTGATTTCCCGAAATAACTTGGTGTCATCGGCAAACATTTGTATGGAGGAGTGTACAACATCAGGCATGTCATTTATGAAACAAACAAACAATAGCGGGCCCTATACAAATTTCCCTGTGGTACCCCGCTTGTGACTGGTACGGATGATGATTTCAGGCCATTAATCACCACACACTGCTTGCGGTCATGTAGAAAGTCTTCTATCCACATGAGGACATTTCCTCGTATTCCGTACCCTTCCAGTTTTATTTTCAGCCTTTCATGGGGTACACTGTCGAAAGCCTTGGCAAAATCTAGGTATATATTGTCGATATTACCACCCCGTTCCAGAAAATGGGTCCAAATATCCAATACCTTGAGCAATTGTGTTAAGCAGGAGCGCCCCGGCATAAAACCGTGTTGGCAATCCTTTACAAGGTTGTTTCATAGTAGATGTTCCATCGTGGCATCTCTGATAATGCTCTCAAGTACTTTACATATTATGCTGGTTAAGCTCACCGGTCTATAGTTGTTCGTGGAGTGATGATCGCCCTTCTTAAAGATGGGACTCACATAAGCCACTTTCCATTCACTGGTGACCTCTTGTTCATCCAGGCATTTACAAAACAGGATCTTCAGGGGCTCGGCAAGCTTGTTGCACAACTCTCTTAGCACTCTAGGATGCGGGGTTACGTTCCTAAAAATGCGACGTTATACGAAACAACGTCAAGCGGATCAATTTTCCCCATAAGAAATAGATAAAATACGGGAGTTACGTTCCTGAGCCTCCCTTTGCCCCATGAAATACATTACATATACAACAAATCATTGCCATTTCTATAGAAAATAATGCATACATATAAAACTACTAAGTTTGCGTTGGTACTCACCGATGGGCGGAGACGGTAGAGCGAATGTGTGATGGGTGATGAAGCGGAGGAGGTGGATGGCGGGAGCGGAGGAGTATGATAGGAGCGGAGGAGGGTGGCTAGTCACTGAGACTCTGCACCGAGCCGAGAGCATAACACGGCCAGATGAGAGAGGGTGATGCACTGTAAATAGTAGTTCGTGACTACACGAAACGATGTTGTACTAAGTCATCGGGACGTTAAACGAATTTTGGGTATCTAAAGATTAGTGATGTAGTACCGAAACAACGTTAAGTGGGCCGACGTTATATGAGGACTAACTGTATATACTGTATATGCAGTTAGGAGCCTATGTCAAATAGGAACCATCAGTCAGAACCAGAAGACAAAAAACAAACAACCCAGAGGAGTGAGTGTGATGAGGAATGAGAGAGGTAGCACTGAAGGAAAGGTCTAGCTAGAATCCTAGAACTGAAAATCACATAAAATTAACACACAAAAATAACACATACAGTACAATGAAAATCACATTAAAGAAAAGCCACAAATTATTTTTTTTACAATAACCAGAGCCACAGCTCAGCTTGTCTTGTGGATTGCACGAAATTTGGCTTAGTGTCTTTATTATCAAAAACTTTTTTTTGTAGATTATCCTACTGGATTCTATTTTTTGTAGATTATCTTACTGAATCCAGTAAGAAAGGTAAGTAAGCAAGTGAGAGAAAATCCTATAGTAAGCAAGTGAGAGAAAATCCTATAAAAAATAAGACAAACTTTCATTGACATGATTAAATTTGGCAGAAAGCACAGAAGCACAGTCCAACTCCAACACGTGACAAAAGAGTAATGAGTAGATTAATGACGGCAGCGCCGCTCGGCAGCAAACAGACACATGGGGCACCAGACGGGTTGCCAGTCACCACCAAAACAATGTTATATTGACACTTGAAAAGAGTTTGAAATTATTGCTTCCAGTGATTTGCCTACCATTGATGTTAAACTGATTGGACGGTAGTCAGAGGATAGTGATCTATCTCCCTTCTTGAAAATCGGTATCACATTCGCTATCCTCCAAGATTCTGGTACTTACACCCTTTTTTAATGACATGTTAAAAAAATTTGCTAAGAGCATACTAATCTCTTCCTTACATTCCTTTAATATTCTGGCAAATATCTCATCGGGACCGGGTGACTTATTAGGCTTTAACTTGTGTATTTGCTTACTAACATCATTACCAGTCACTACAGGGTGCTATCTCGCCTAATCTATTTTCTTCACTATCTCTCCTGTATATAGTTGTTGCCTCGGGTATCATGTTTAAATTTTTGGTGGTGAGAAGTGTTGCAAAATATCTATTCAGATTATTGCTCATTTCCCCGTTGTTATCAGTTCGCTCACCGGTATCTGATTGTATTGGTCCAATCTTCTCTCGTGTTTTAGTTTGATACATTTGAAAGAATCCCTTGGGGTTTGACTTCGCCTCCCTTGCTACCTTCAGTTCATTATTCCTCTTTGCTTTTTTTATCTTGGTCTTAACCCTACTGGCCAATACTTTATAATAATCTCGGAGGTAAACCTCACCATGACTTATATTCCTACCTATAGCCTTCCTTTGTCCAATAATACTTTTTAAATAATTATTTATCCATTTGGGGTCATTGTTGTTTGATCTGAGTTTTCTGTATGGTATGTTCTGCCTTTGTGCATTAAGTAACTCATTATTTAAATTGTTGTGGAACTCATGAACCTCAGATCTCGTGATCAGGTCATCCTCAACCGTCATATTTTGTGAGGTTATTGTTATCAGGTCACCAGGTAAAGTGAGGCCACCATCAGTAGGTACATTGTGTGAGGTCATGTAATTCACCCCCAAATGTGATACCCCTTCTCTCAGCTGCCTTTTCAAACTATCAAAGTTTGCCCTTCTGAAATCTGGGACTTTAACCCTTTCGCCACGTTTCACGCACTTAACATTATATTCTGGCTACCGCCAGACGATTTTATTCAGCTCAGGGTAACGTTCCGATGCAAAAGGGTTAATGAAATTTTCCTTTCAACTGCCATTAAATTCTAATTTGAATCTTACTTCTTTGTGATCGCTGTTAGCTAGTTCGTTCTCTACCTCGACATTACTAATGAGGTTTTCTCTGTTTGACAGAACTAAATCAAGTACAGTATATTATTACCCCGGGTGGGTTCGGGTATGTGTTAACTTTGGAAACCGTCCTGAACTGTTTCAAGAAAATCCTCTGATTCTGAGTTACCCATAAAGTCGATCCAATCTATTTGACTAAAGTTAAAGTCGCCTACTATACAGACTTTGCTATGCCTGGATGCCTTGCATATTTCATCCCAAATAAGTCGCTCATTAACTCTTATCAAGATTAGGAGGTCTAAATATTACTCCTGTGATTAATTTTTTCCTACCATCGGTTAATTCTATCCAAATTGTTTCTGTATTCAGCTCAGTTTTTATTTCCTTATTTAGTTCACACTTCAGAGCCAAGGGTGCAGAATATATTTTTTAGTGAGTGTACAACAGAGCAAGTACTGTATGTAGATGTGCAGTAGGTGTGGTGGCTGAGTGTCTGTTTTGTTGTAAGGGTCACTGGTTTGCACCTAGGACACCCTTTATATCCGTATAAAGAGAAAGGTCAGTTATCTCCATCAGAAGAGAGGGGATATTATTCTCACCAACAATCAAAGCACTATTCACAAATTCTTCCCAAATTTCAAAATTTTCCAGATGATAACAGTCAGACACCTGGGAAGAATCTGTAGTTTCTGTGGCAAACATCAACAAATTTCACATAATATCTCTACTGACAATTTCCTTGGGTAAATAATCTCAGCCAAACCTGAATTCTGAAATTCCCTACAGCAGACTCCATGATTAAAATGAAAAAAGCCACCTTCCATCAATCAATATCTGAGGAGGATCTTATGTGACCTAGAAGTCCCAAGTCTTCCTTTTCTCTGTTGGTGTTGCAGTGTGTGAGACTTGTGTCCATGGATTACACCATTTACCTGGAGATCTCCTCATCTCCTTCGTTTTCCTCTAAAAGGCAAAAAAATTGGACTTGCTCTATTTGAAACTTTTCCCTTACCTTTTACGCAGTTAACTGTCCTTCACTGGGCCAATTGTTTGTCTTATCAGAGACAGTGAGAAGGGGTCTGAGTAGATATTGAATTGATATTGAAATAGTTTATTAAGCCAGAAAAAATGCAGATACAGAGTGGACAATAAGAACAATATTGACATGGCTGAGCCAAGTGAGAGCCTGAGCACTCTTAGTGGCACCTGATATGTTCTCAGAAATCCCCTTAGGAATTAGCACACTACAGTACCTTATAATTCATGTTTAGCCTGGGCTGTAACCTTACAAGAAAGTAGGACTAAAATGTGAATGTGATCCTCCAAATAAAGCATCGAATGGGTCGGTGAACCAATTATCAAGTTCATAAGATAAGATGTGCATGAACACATATGGTAGACAAGTACACAGCTCACTATACAGAACAGTACCTTGCATTCATTATGTCATTCACACATTTTACTTTTTTTTTTTAATATATCCATTTTTGCTATGTTCATTCCAGAGGTCCATCTACGAGTAGAGGCTGCAGACAACAATGGCTTGGGCAACAAAGCCATGGCACAGATTATCTTGGTGTTGAAAGATGTCAATGACGTAGCACCCAGGTTTCTGAAGCCAATATACACTGGAGTGATGAAACCAGACCAAAACAACCTCAAGGAGACATTGCAAGTCCAGGTAAGGTGGTTGTCACTATTGTTGCTGCTATAGGTTTAAGTGAACAGTGGATGGTAAGTGGGCAGCTGGTTTATGTGGATGGTGGGTGTAAGTGGGCAGTTGATTTATGTGGATGGTGGGTGTAAATGGGCAGTTGGTTTATGTGGGGTGGCATGTTTGTGATTGGTTGATTTAAATGGGTGAAGAATTTGTGAGAAGAATGGGGTTTATGTAGATGTTTGGTTCGTGTCAACTGATGGTTTCTGTAGACTTGGCCTTTGGATATGAGTTTAGATGGGTTTATGTAGTTTCTCGGTTTATGCAGCAGAGAGTGGAATGGTTGGTGAAATATTCTTTTTAGGTTTATATTAGAGACATTGAGAGAAATTGTGAATAAAGCAATATTTAATTCATGAGCACTTAGTCAAGATTATTAAATTTATCAGAAAATTTAAAACTGATAAGTTATCTTCAAAAATAAAAAAAATAAAGTAGTGCAGTGTTACTGTACATTTAACAGTGTGACTGGTATTTCTGCAATTACTCATAATGTGGATATTTGTGGATGGAATGGTTATGCTGTGTTCAAATAATGGATGTGACTTTACAGTGATGAAGAAAAGCCGTGTTTCCATGTTCCGGCTGTTAGTGTATCACCATTATATTCTTTGAGAGTTATACATGTTATGATTATTTATTGTCATCTCTAGGCAGTTGATGATGATGCAGAGGAACCCAACAACAAAATCCGGTACAGCATGGACCCCTCCATCTTCATTCACAACTTTAATGTGGATAGTACAACAGGAGTAATATCTGTTATCCAGCAGCTGGCTTACCCTCAGGTGAGACTGTATGAGGTACAGTACATGCCCTGTCAGTAGTGAGGCAGTACAGGTACCGGGTAAATGTTTGAGTTTCTTCATCTAAAGATGAGAAATAGTAAGAGAGTAATAAGGCTCTCTGCCAGCTGCAGAAAGATGAAGAGTTAGTGTGAATATTGGTACTTTTGCAGGTAGAATATTATAGAAAGTATACTTTAGGAAGTGAATGCATGGAAATTCCCAAATTTAAACTGACTTTCCTGCATTATAGCCTATGTGGGATGTCTTGTGAACCCCTGGTACAGAATTAGAAATTACAAGTCATGTGAAAACATGTACCTACTGTATTACCATGATACAAATTTTATTGGTAGACAACTATACAATTATATACCTTAAAATAGATTTATTTGTAGTCTTAGTACAGTAAATAAAAACCAATTCACATAATTCTACAGTGGTCCCTCGGTTAACGAACACAATTCGTTCCGCAGAGTCGTTCGTTAACCAAATCCATTGTTTCAATGGGATATTGGGTAATTGGTTCCAGCTCACAGAAAAGTACATACAAAGTAAAAAAAAATGCAGTAAAGTACACTTACTTTGAGGTGTGTATGTAGAAGGCTCCTGGTTGATGATGATGATGGGAATTAGAGGTGGGAATGGAAGAGAAGGGAGGAGAGAAGGAAGTGGGGATGGAGGAGAAATCACCTTTCAGGGGACTCATGCTTGATGTAGTAATTTTACCAATAAAATTTTAAGTTCACTAGGTGTAATTCAAGATTATTTTATTTAAATCAACACTGCACTGCACTATATATTATCAATATGTTAACTAAATTTCAGAATGACCAATAATTGTAATGTAAAAATGCAAAAATATTCAAGACACCAACAAAATCGATGTTCACTCCACTGTAAACAAAGCCAAACTGACGCCTGGTAGGTGAGTTAAGGGGCTGATGGGAGCACAAAAAACTAGTACCCTGTACTGCATATATTATCAATATGTTAGCCAAATTTTAAAATGACTAATAATTTTAATAAAAATTGCAAAAATATTAAAGAGCACAACTTTCTTGATATTTAATCCACTGGAAAAGAATGTAAACATAGAAGAGATTACTGAATTGGCAGACTAGCCCATCAGCTTATCAGCTGATGCTCACAAAAAAACGTGTTTGTCGTAAGGATTTCGTTAATTGAAGTTTTGTTCGTTAACCGAATTGAAGATCCTTATGGGAGGTAATTCGATAACCGAAATTTCGTTAATCGAACTGTTCGTTAACCGAGGGACCACTGTAATGTATGGTTGCTGAATTTAGTTTTAACTTATAATGCAAATTTCCTAGACATTCATTTTTACCATGTCAGTTACCTAATGAAAGGTTGTGTCCATTTCCTCAACCCTACACTTGTAGGGGTCCCCGAGTTATGAACGTCCGACTTACGAACACCTGCTGATACGAATAAGGTCCCTTAAGGGCAAACTTTTTTGCAGTGAGAGTTGTCAACTCTTGGAACAATCTGCCAGAAAGTATTGTGATGGCACCGAGTGTGAGTTCTTTCAAGACCAGACTTGACCAACACTGGAACAGGTTCAGGTACATTCAGGTACTGGCCAACAGTGCGTGACAGAGACGTGACCGATCACCCAAGTGGCTAATGAGCCAATGAGTGGTGAAGAGGATAAAAGAATCGGTACAACTGGTTCGTAGTATTAATGTACGAGAACTAGTTTGCGTGGCGTGGCGGGTGGGAAGTAATGCTTTACCCAACCACAGTATGCCTTATGCCTCACCTCAGTAATGTGTGTGATCAATTGCAAACATGATGCAAGTGATATTAGTGCAGCCAAGAAAAGGAAAACAATTACAATGGAAGTGAAGGTTGATGTAATTAAACGTTCTGGGCTTCATTAGGTCAATGAGCGGAACAATTTTGAAAGACAAACACAGAATTCTTGAACATGTAAAGAGATCTTCACCAATACACTCAACTGTGATAACAAAACAAAAACGTGGATTGTTAATTGAAATAGAAAGATTAATTATTAGTGATATGGTTGAAAGATCAGGCAGCCCCAGGTTTCAAGGTAAGTGTTAAACTTTAATTTTTACTTTCCTTTACTGTATTCTGTTATTTAATTTCTTCTTTTCTCTTAAATTAAGTGATTCTAGATGTATAAAAGGACTTAGGCTATGAAATAGTGCACATAGAGTATGTGTTCCGAATTAACTACATTTTCAATTTAAGAACGTCCTTAGGAACAGAACTCGTTCGTAACCCGGGGACCCCCTGTATAGGTAACCAATGCCAGATGTAGGGTGAAAGCTATCCTAATATGTTTATTTACATCTAACTTAAAATGTAATACACTGCCTTCCTTTGACAGATATCTGGTCTTGCAAAAAAAAAGAGAGAAAAGCGGGCATATGAAAATGATGATGGAATTATCACCTTCAGCGTGACAGCCACAGACTTTGGTAATTTACCAGATCAACTTTCATTTTACATTTGTGATTATTTGAGTAAAAAGTTAAGTTTAAATTTTTTTAATGTATTGGTTTTTGGTTAGGTGAAGTGACTTTGTTTGCTTATTTTAACTACATTCTTATTTACTTGAGTTGGATCAAATGCATACAGTAAGATCTTGTATTTTTCGAGTAATATAGACTGGAAAAATTGTGCCAAATTCAAATTCACCAAATTCAAATACATAAACTAATGGGAAAAATGAAAATATTGACTGGCCACTCTACATCAACCTCTGATTTTCCCATTTATAACCAACAAATGATACAAATTCAGCCTTTATTGACCTGATTGTGCTTTCCGGAACTAGTTTTTAGGCCTTCCTCAAGTAACTTAATCACACGCTGCTTATCCTCCATCGAGTACTTGGCAAACTTAACTCGACAGATGGTAACACCACCCAAAAAAGCACACAATAGCAGCCCAGGCGGTTGCTAGGATGGTTCTACATCACATGTTCAATTGATTCGTGTCTTGTTTGTGAAGTGTTTTTTGAGGGGTACTCTGTAAATTTTGTTCTTTTTTTTGCAAATTTACCTGTTACCCATAAATACTGTATGAAAAGAATAAGTAAAAAGAATGTTTTTCAGTGAGGACTAATAACGGTTTACACCAGCGCTCTCTGTTTACATCACATGATCAGTTGAATCGCCTGGTTTTTGTCGATTGCTCCGTGATTTTCGCTGTTTTCTCCAATTTTGTTGTGTTAGCGATGAATATGAAAAGACAAGGTAAGAAGAATGTTTCCAAGAAGCGTTCTGGTGATTAAATTGCCGGTGGTGAACGTAAAAGAGGTTTACAAGAATGGAACTATCGCGCTGTAGCCTGCGCCATCCTAGTGACCGCCCGGGCTGCTATTGTGTGCTTTTTTGGGTGGTGCTACCACCTGTCGAGTCAAGATAATGACTGGCTTTTTCTCATAAGCTTATGTATTGTATTTGCATTTGGCGAATTTGAATTTGACGCAATTTTTCCAGTCTATATTACTCGCAAAATACAAGATCTTACTGTATATACAGTCAACCCTCACTTTACGCGGTTAATGTAACCCACAGGGTACCGCGGAAAGTGAGAAACGCGTAAAGTGAATAACATAACATATGGGATTAAATGAAATAGAGACCGGCTGACCCCCAAACTCCACTTTTTCCAACACAATACCTATGTTCTAGTAAAAATAACATCTTAATTTTATGATGGTACATGCACACAATTAATACTTAAGAGAAATAGAGAAATACAGTCGCCAAGTTAATGTCCATTCAAATAATGGACTCAAACTCCCCCTCTTCTCACACTACACTCCCTGGCTCTTCCCTCTCAGAAATTTTTGGGGGAAAACCCGGTATAGTAATAAATAATACCTCAAACTAAAGTTAGGATAATATAATTGACATTGCTGGATTCCTTGTAAGACCAGGAATATTTTGAATATAAATGTCATATATTTTGCACAAAAGATAACATATTTACTCAGAGTAAACATTATATCTAAAATTTGTATGTCTAATGCAAAATCTATGATGTTTATATTCAAAATGATCATCAAATTGTAAGAATTCCAGCAATGTAAATTATATTCTGGCCGGGTAATTTGTATGAATTTTATGAGCTAAAACAAATATCTTCAGTTAATAAAAAAAAAATATTCTTCACGACACTATCTGTCAATCAAAGTACCCCACCTTGCCTCCCCCCCTCTTCCAACCGGCCAGATGGTCGGTCCGTCCCAACCCTCCCCCACCAACCCTCCCTTCAAGAGAAAGGTTGGGTGAAAAAACTAGATTTTAACATTTAGTATTAAATAATACCTCAGATTAAAGTTAGGATAATATAATTGACATTGCTGGATTCCTTGTAAAACCAGGAATATTTTGAATATAAATGTCATATATTTTGCACAAAAGATAACATATTTACTCAGAGTAAACATTATATCTAAAATTTGTATGTCTAATGCAAAATATATGATGTTTATATTCAAAATGATCATCAAATTGTAAGAATTCCAGCAATGTAAATTATATTCTGGACGGGTAATTTGTATGAAATTTATGAGCTAAATAAAAAAATTATATACTTCACCAGCGTAAGAATTTTTACCCACGCCCGGAATGTGTGAGCATCCGGGTTCGAGGATGCTCCGGCGTTCTAGCCCTGCCCGGAACCGGGATGCTCATTCATGATGGGTATGCCCATTTAAGCGGGTAACTATTGTCATAGATTTTTCTGGTGATATTATTACTAAAGTTAAAATCTGGATTTTCTGTGTCTGTTGAGAGGAAGGTGGGGGCTGAATTAGAAAAAATTGTGTGGTTTCTAGGGTGTGAGGAAAGTCAACAGTGAATAATCCCATGTTATATTGAATTCACTGCGATGTTCTCTTATAACAAGTTAATGCTGGCGTGAAAGCGAGGTTGACTTGTGATATATATATATATATATATATATATATATATATATATATATATATATATATATATATATATATATATATATATATATATATATATATATATATATATATATATATACTCCTTCAATTTAAAAGTTAGATATCTTATAGTGCTAGATATAATAATATAGTGCACAAGGTATTTTAGTCACATTTTTGGAACATTCACAGATTAGCGTGGTAAGGGTATAATTGCTGTGTGTTACACCTATTCTAGGATACAGTGCTCCCACTTGTTGCACTGCCTTCAGTGATTGGTCTATCACGATGCCTAGATCTGTTTCCTTATCAACAGTTTCCAAGAAAATTTTAATTACATAATAGTTGTGTATTGGGATTATTGTGTCCCACATCCAGCATCTAAGATTTTGGTATATTCAGAAGCATCTGCCAGTCCTGCAACTATTTAAACAGCTCATGCTGATCATTTTGCAAAGTGACAGTATCTTTTTGGCTTATAATCTTTGTGGATATTGTATTTTTGTGTCGTCCACAAATATGATTATGTGGCTTAATATAATTTCATCAATATTATTAAAGTAGATCTATATGTCTGGAATTTAGAGGCTATCCAGGCATGTGGAATTTTATCAAATGCCATAAAAAGATTCTTTAACTGTACAACACATCCAGTGATAACCTTGGTCCACATAATGTTACCATTTCAATTAATGTAAGTAAATTTGTAAGACCAGATTTTCCCTTCTTATAACTGTGTTGTGATGCATTGATAAGACTGTGTTTGGTTAGGTGTTGGATGTTAGTGTTCCTCAAAATTTTCTCAAAGAGTTTGAATACATGTTATATGAAGGTGGATTTTGCTGAACTTTTTCTATCTTTCTTGTATATCAGTGTGACATTGGTTGATTTCCAGTCCTTAGACACTTTTCCTTATTCCAGGAATTCAGTTTATTTACTCTTTAAACTTCTATTTATTACTGTATTATATTCAGTTTTTATTTCTGTTTGTTTACAGTACTTGACTCTTATGTGATATTGTGATGAATATTATCATGTATTACTTGGCTTATATAGGCATTACTGTACATGTAATTGAAGGTGCAGTAGTTCATTCAGATGATTGGTTTTTGGAAACTGAAAATGGTATTCATGAATTCTGCTATTCAGGAGAGTTTCTGGGGCCTATCCCTCAACTAAAGGAGATTTTTTTATAATTTCCTCACCTGCCAATCTATATCCTCTAATTTCTGGAATCTGAGCGTTCTGTAACCCAGGGAGTGCCTGTATTTCCAAAATTATATCTAACACTATCTCCACCATTTTTTAAGTATTAAATCAAATTTGATACATACCGTATATCCTTTTCGTTACATTTACCTACAAGCTCACTGATTTTGATAAGTTCAGTCATATTATTGCCATAAAACATACAGTACCAACCATCTAACATGACTCATTTATCTATATATATGTCACTGCTGTATCTCACACCATTATCATGATTCCCACCAGGAACCCCACCATTGAGCACGACTGTCAAGGTTCAGATATTCCGTGATGAATTTGTAGAACGCTTCATCACATTTATATATCCGAAGCCTCAAATTGAAGTCCGCTTCAATGAGGTAAGTTTACATGATTGTTCAACCAAATTGCAACTTAAGGATATTGTGTGTTATTGGACTTATTTGAATAAGCTTTCTTTCTTCAGTCACTCATGGTAGCAACAGTGATTTAAGGCAAAACTTACAGTAAGGATGACTCAATTTTGCAGGGCAAGTTATAAAGTCTATCAGGTACACAAACATACCCCTCTACTTGTCCAACTGGGTAGGAAGATTATGGGACCCACGATTCCAAAGCTGTGGATTTCTTGATGCTAGTTGACTATAATCAATCATTGCTACCTAAACTCTGGCAACAGGGAGATGATGTACACTCACAAGAGTCATACAAATAATGCTGAATGCCATGAGGTTGAGGGGCAAAAGAAAGATTATAAATAAATGGAGGAGCAGTCTTGCTAGAGACATGATATCAAAACTCACGGAGGGTCCTGGCATGGCTGAGTTAGAAGCTTCTTGGGGTCTTTTAGAGATGGTGATTGTCCTGAGTTAGAACAAGGCAACTTCACTGAACTTGTTTGACAAGTTTTGGACCAGGAAAACAATGTAAAAATTTTGTACCTGAGTCATGAAATCTTGATTTCTCCTTTGGGGAAAATATTTAAAAAATTCACTGGAAAACCATACATAAATTTCTTCAGTATAGTACTTAGTTACAACTCTAGGAGAAAAATCATTAAAGCTAAAAATGAGCATATGGTAATGAAATATAAAATTGTAATAGATAGTTGAAAAACATGTGCAGGTTTCCAAAGACATAATATTTCAACAAGCAGAATAACTCTTAAAACTACAGTACGTACACATCACATTTTTTAGGTCACGTATGCAAAGAAGAGAGGAGTGTATACAGTCACCCCAAGCATCTTTGTCTGACCACTTGAGCAGATCTTTGGACTGAATTATACTGAGTAATTATTGTCTTATGTATAACATTTGGTGGTATATAGAGGTATATCAAATAAATGAGCTCTGCTTCTTTCTATCTGCTGACACATGCATTTTATTTTGAAATTTCAACTCATTTCAAATGGATTATACCCAATGTTGCACATGCAATGCAACAGTCCACCAAGTGCTGTGCACTTAATATTTCCAGCTGAATATATTAAAGACAGGTATACCCCAATAACCAATGTAAATAGGGACTGTGAAAGGTCATTGCCTAGTGTATCAATGGTTATCGAAGCAATTAATCCCATAAGGATCTAACAAATTCTGGAGATTAGGGACCGACCACCCCCTAAAAACTCCCATCTACCTCTAATATATTTCTGTTGTGCATACTGTCAAGCTAGAAAATAAGGCAGACATATAAAGCAAGCACAAGAGGCATTAAATAAAGAATGTAAAGCATAAATTGACACTTGTATACCTGTATTGAGGTTGGTAGAAATGATCTAGGGTGGCAAGTTCAAGTCTCTACCAATCTTTGCTGGTCCATTACCACTCTTATTATGCCTTATTACATCATATCAAGCTGCCCCTCTTAGGGGCGTTTGGGCATGATTGCGTAACACACGAAGTCGGAAAAAAAAAAAAACATGTAGTTGGAGACACATGGTAAATGTAAACAAGTGGAGAGAAGTGGGAATGAATCGTAGTTTCGCAGAACCCTCCTGTGGCAAGATTTCGCATCATGCCACTGCCTGCCAAATTCAAAACAGCTTTACCACGCCTCCCCAAATCATCGGATCAACAGGGTATCAACAAAACTTAAGGGGTATTTCGCCAAGATATAATCGTCGGTTATGTAAAGCTGCTGTTAATGGGATGTCGGTTTTTGGGGCATACTTGTAAACATCTAAGGAGTGCTCCTTGTTATTTACACCATGTTTTTATATTCTTTTAGCTTCTTGCATACCTAGGATAACTTAAAAAATAATGTATACTATTTTGTTCTACTGGTGGTACTCTTCTGCACATTGCCTTGGTATGTATTGGTGCATGTAATGTAACAAAATTCATTCTTCACTGTGATGTCAAAAATAGAGGAAACATTGGTTTTACAATTTATTACCATATGAGTAAATGTGCCTATTATTATCTAAGAGTATGGGCATATATAGGAGTGAGGAAATTGTGTGCAGGGACATGTGGTATTACCCAGGTTGGAAAGATAAGGTTAAATTTTATGTGGAAGTAGCTAACTAGTCATAGCAGTATTAATATAATTATTTGTGAGATTTTCCTATGCTGATTCTTTTCATTCATCAAGTTGCAGTTAGTCTGTTTTGGAGATTGATTTACCATTTATGTATGGTGTGAGTTACGATTGAAGAAATTTAACTTTTAGTCACTAGTGATGGATAAAATGCTACAGTCTGTTTTGGAGATTGATTTACCATTTATGTATGGTGTGAGTTACGATTGAAGAAATTTAACTTTTAGTCACTAGTGATGGATAAAATGCTGCATTACGGCCTATGGTAGTAGTATAGGCAGCCCCAAATTTCCATTTAAAAAGTAGCTTTTGAGCTCTATTTGCTGTATAAGACCAGTACCCCAAATGTGACACTTACCCACTGACTCAGTAGTCCTTTACCAACCATCCTTGATTTTTTTAAATAAGGCCAATTCACTTCAAGTAATGTCATCAAATTATACCCGCTGGTGTAGTGTAAACACTAGTGACGTCACTGAAGCGTGTTGGGAGTGTTCCCTCGTCTCGGTGGTGTGACTATTTATACAACATGTGATTCAACAGCAACCACCGTATTCTAATTGTGGTGTTTCATTAGGATTTGAGTGAAAAAGGTTACCAGTATGTACTTACTACATACATTTATTACACAAATATATATATATATATATATATATATATATATATATATATATATATATATATATATATATATATATATATATATATATATATATATATATATATATATATATATATATATATATATATATATATATATATATATATATATATATATATATATATATATATATATATATATATACTGAATATACTATGTACAAAAAATGAATGTTCAATGAATTATTTATGGTGCATTAGGGTACTGGTCACTTCTGATGGGCTATAAATAGCCTTCTTTATCTCCCCTACATCTCACCCTGAGCCAGACGGAAGGGTCTTGGTAAATAACATGTTTGCTTATTTTCCATTTACTTTAAATAGATTTACCGAATTATTTGTTTTATTTATTTATTTATAATATACTGTAATATATTAAACACACTGTAATTATTTTCTTTAATTTATAAATTGTTTTGCGACAAAGGAATGTTCTCCAGTAGTGTTTCATTAGGATTTGAGTGAAAAAATATTACGTACTTACACAATTGTTCCTCTTACTTTGACAACACAACATACATACAGTATATTATTTCTCAGTTTTGATCTTTTTTTTTAATTTTTGTATTTATTTATAGTTAGTTACTTAAAATAAGGCCAATTCACTTCAAGTAATGGCATCAAATATTACCAGCTGGTGTAGTGTAAACACTAGTGGCGTCACTTGAGCGTCTGTAATTAACCGTCGATAGTTTCAAGAATTAATGCACTCATTTACTGAATATTCTTTGGAAAAAAATAAAATTTAAATCAATTATTTATAGGAGATAAATATTATTATGAGTAAATATACCGATACCGGTATGCATTACTGACCACCTCCACGGCTCCTCACTGGCAAATGGGGAGGGGTGTGTGATGATAGCTGTGTTTATTATAGGGGTATAAATCTCTTTTACGGTATGTTAGACAGGTTTATAATACATTTTTATTATTTTAATATACCGGTAATCTTAATTTGAATCCAGCTTGCCAAACGTAAGTTTCAGTATAAAATAATTAGTGGTAAGACCTTGTGAGTGGCTTACGATGTTTTCATCACCACTCTTGACACACTAAACCACAATATTTAAGAGGTAAGAATTTTAAACTTGGTGGTTTAGAAGACCCCCTAACTTTGGGCAGATTTTTTTAATGTTCAAATTTTGTCTTATAGGCGTGTGCTCACGGTAGAGATACGAAAATTATTTAGGCATACTGTACTGTACCGTCACTGTAATAATAGAAGGACATTTGGATAATACTTTACCTATACTTACAGGATGAGATTGAGAGAATGTTGACCACCATCACTGGAGGGGAAACAGAGATCTTGAAGGTGGAGGACTACAGCACCACTGATACCAGCAGGTTCCAAACTGATAAGTAAGATGGTGGACCCAGGGAGGGCGAAAATGACGAGTGCCATACACATTTGCCCACACACTGTTGTTGTGATACACTTAATGCTTAATCCTTATGCTGTATATTTGTGCTTTATCAAAATGAGTGTGAAATATTTCCAGCTTCTCAAGTTTTTATACAATTATGTGTCTTTGCTATTGATGTATTCATCATTACACCACCTGTACAAAGATCTTTCTCTGACTCATTGACTCATCTGGTTACATTAAACACTTTTGAGAGTATCATGATACCTTGCTGCCATTTTTTGAACTGCTAATTATAGAATTAGATATAAATTGATGTAACTGACTTGGGACTTAAAGTAGATAAAACACTGTTAATCTAGAATCTAGAGGTAGTGTAGATTATTAATATAATTTCAAGATATTTTTTCTTACTATTACATAATTTTACTTAATAAGACAACTCATAATGGTAGTGCATAGTGAATGGTTGCTTTATTAAAGCCGTTAGAAGATAGCAGCCCATAAAGTACGTAGTTTTAAATACTCAAATTCATATTGAATTTATTAGCTGTAATAGTGTAGTATTACCACTGTTGTAAGCATCAGTGGGTTAAACCCTGTGTACTTTCAGATCATCCGTCCACTAAGGCAGATGAATGACAGAACGAAAAAGGAGGCCTCCTATAGATTATTGTTTAAAGCAATGGGAACAGAGGAAGGTTTGGTTGTGTAGAACACTTACAATGGATGGAGAAAATCCTGTTTAATAGATTAGGTACTGTACATTTTAGAATTTGTGGAAACAGTAGATATCCTTGAAGTGGTGCACAGTACACAAAAAATAGATTAGAAATGGGGAATTGAGAAATGATGAAGAGGAACAAAATAGTAAAATGAGTGATACAGAAAAATCTGTTTTTGGATTTTCATATAAACTATAAAATTACTTGAACTTTTGGTTACAGAATTGTCATTTCACTGCAGCCACAGCTAATAATGCCGTTTCTTGACTGGTTCACTTCCCTTTCACTTGTTGACACATATGATAAACCTGAATTTGAAATCTCCCAGAGGAGCAGTATTGTGAACTGATGTTGAGTGAAAGTTCTTGCTTAAAAATTGTGGGTAAATTTAATGGAGAATTGTCACCTTGTGTGAGCACCACTGCATGATACTGTACATCGATGTCACCTTCCCCACTGTTTACCATTTTCTCCAAGCAGTTACTCATTTGTTAGGGATTATGGACTATGATCAATGTACATACTGAGTATTTGAGTTTGCATATCGTGTAAAGGGTTGTTGTTACCGTTTTGCTGTCTCATAGTCCATAGTGTTAATCAAAATCATTCTTTAGAATTTTAGTTGTTCATATCCGAATATCATTGGTATTTTAATAAAAATTTAGACACTACTTTACTTTTGGGGGGATGCCATATTACTAAAATAATCACTACTTTAGAATTAATAATCTCAGGTTCAGTTGGAGAAAAGTATTGCAATGTGATTTTATTTCAGCTGTTTGTGATGATGACCTGAAGGTATACTGTGTAGCATTGACATGTAGCTTCTCTGTTGCTAGGTAGGAGATTTTATGTGTTATAAGATGAGTTAAAACTATTTTTCTGCCACAAAACTCTCTTAACACTTGGTGTGTGATTTCTAAAGTGGCAGTTCACACTACACCAGAAGTCACGTAATGTATTGGCTGTCATCTCCGCACTGTCTACCACCATGTTCATGCCACAAGTATTGGGCTACTTTGGGCTTGTTTTGATCATGACCGGTAATACATACAGTACAGTATTTGGATAATATTTCTTTCTCTTAACTTAAACTCTTGATGTAGAAAGATCACTAAAGTGTACACTAAATGCCTATTTACTACTTCATAAGGTAACAAAGATCAAAACAAGCTTATCTATTACTATACAGTATTCTTATTTAAAATTTTGATATTAATTGAAATAACAATAGTGTCTTTTTAGTTTAGATTTTAAAGGTTCTTTGATTATGAACTCAAAGGTAAAACTACAGGTATTTTGTTTAATTAGCATGGTTTATGATAATAATGAAACTACTTAAAGCATCTTCTATCCAGAAATCATGCTATGGATGACAGTATTTTCAAGATACAGTACTGTACTTTTCCAATTGGTATACAGTATACTGTATAACATAGTGAAAAAAGTAACATAAGAATTCAAATTTGCATATACTGAGTAGTAATATTTTGTTTTTGTTCAATCCAAAATGCAACATCTAGCTTTATACCTAGGTATGTAAATGCCTAGCATTAACTCGCCAGGCCAACATACAGGCAATTAAAACATCTAATAATTACTTAAATACGCAATATTAGGAGGACACGTCGCTACCTGGCATTTAATTGCAATTCTCAAAACCCCCTCCTGCACCCTCCATCACACGCATTGCTACCGTCATTTTCTTGCTTGGCGAATCAGCTGAAAACACGCACATGGAAAGCTCGGCTAATTTGTGTTGTAATAGCTGAATTATTAACTGCCACAAGGATTTTATTTTTGGTATTTATACGTCTTATCATGGTGAGGAAATCGAGTGACTTTTATTTTGATTATGTCTCTCAGATATTGTGTTTGGGGCAATTTCTTATACGGTCTGGTCAAGCATGGCGACCGTGGCTCGCCTTCTATCTAGGAAGACAGTTGATCTTTAGTGACTAATATCCTCTGCTTTCAAGTCATTTAGTGAATGCCATTGTTTTACACCCTTCCAGGCTTGTCTTCACTGAAAGAATATATATATATATATATATATATATATATATATATATATATATATATATATATATATATATATATATATATATATATATATATATATATATATATATATATGTATGTATGTATGTATGTATGTATGTATGTATGTATGTATGTATGTATGTATGTATGTATGTATGTATGTATGTATGTATGTATGTATGTATGTATGTATGTATGTATGTGTATGTATGTATGTATGTATGTATGCATATGTATGTATGTATGTATGTATGTATATATGTATGCATGTATGTATGTATGTATGTATGTATGTATGTATGTATGTATATGTATGCATGTATGTATGTATGTATGTATGTATGTGTATGTATGTATGTATGTATGTATGTATGTATGTATGTATGTATGTATGTATGTATGTATGTATGTATGTATGTATGTATGTATGTATGTATGTATGTATGTATGTATGTATGTGTATGTATGTATGTATGTATGTATGTATGTATATGTATGTATGTATGTATGTATGTATGTATGTATGTATGTATGTATGTATGTATGTATGTATGTATGTATGTATGTATGTATGTATGTATGTATGTATGTATGTATGTATGTATGTATGTATGTACGTATACATATACACACAGTAGTACCCCGTACGATTTACGCGGTCAATTGAACCCACAGGGTACCGCGGAAAGTGAAAACCGCGTAAAGTGAACAACAGAACATATGGGATTAATTTCAATAGAGACTGGCCCGACCCCCAAACTCCACTTTTTCCGACACAATACCTACAGTATGTTGTAGTAAAAATAACATCTAAATTTTATGATGGTATGCTCACACAATTAATATTTAAGAGAAATACACTCGCCAGGTTAATGTCCATTCAAATAATGGACTCAAATCCCCCCCCCTTCTTCCCAGCTCACTGGCCCCTACCTCTCTGAGAAATGATTGGGTGAAACACTAGATTTTAACGTTTAGTAATAAATAATACCTCAGACTAAAGTTAGGATAATATAATTGACATTTCTGGATTCCTTGCAGGTCAGGGAATATTTTGAATGTAAACTTCATATATTTTGCACAAAAGATAAAATACTTGCTTTGTGTAAACCAAATTATTACATTAGATCTAAAATTTGTATGTCTAATGCAAAATCCATGATGTTTATATTCAAAATGATCATCATATTGTAAGAATTCCAGCAATGTAAATTATATTCTGGTCCAGTAATTTGTATGAATTTTATGAGCTAAAACAAATATCTTCAGTTCATAAAAAAAAAAATATTCTTCACGACACTATCTGTCAATCAAAGTACCCCAACTTGCCTCCCCCCTCTTCCAACCGCGCCAGATGGTCGGTCGATCCCAACCCTCACCCCCACCCCCCACCTTCCCTCCCTACCAGAGAAATGTTGGGTGAAAAACTAGATTTTAACTTTTAGTAATAAATAATACCTCAGACTAAAGTTAGGATAATATAATTGACATTTCTGGATTCCTTGCAGGTCAGGGAATATTTTGAATGTAAACATCATATATTTTGCACAATAGATAAAATATTTGCTTTGTGTAAACCAAATTATTACATTAGATCTAAAATTTGTATGTCTAATGCAAAATCCATGATGTTTATATTCAAAATGATCATCATATTGTAAGAATTCCAGCAATGTAAATTATATTCTGGCCGGTTAATTTGTATGAATTTTATGAGCTAAATAAAAAAAAAAATTATACTTCACGCGTATATGAGTAGATGCACCGCGGAAAGTGAAAGTCCGGTTTGGCAAGGTACCGCGTAAATGAGAAATCGCGGAAAGTGAAACCGTACAGGGCATAACTATTTTATTCATGTCCTCAGTAGCGGGTTCAGCCTTTCCAGGCAAACTTTAGCGAGGCAGCTAGAGGTTTAAAATGTGTGCCAACTTTCCAAGCATGACTAAAAAAATGGGTAAAAGTTAAAAACTGTGTACAATATTATGAAAAAGTTGAATGTTTCAAATACTGTACAGTAAACCCAAAACGACGATGTTCACCTATGGGAAGCCAAAATTGACCCAAAACGAAGAAAAACCCACTCCATAACATATTTAATTCCTGCATATGCTCTTTATTTATCTAATTTTGAAGTTTTATATTATATTTTCCATATTTCTAAGCCACATTAAAGTATTGTAATGATTTTTTCACAACTTTTATAGTTTCATTATAAGTAAGAATATGC